TATATATATATATATATATATATATATATATATATATATATATAAACATAAACTACCCACCGTAATGCAGCAGAAGTTCTGTGTTCAAAGCTGTAAATCAACCAATGTAGCGAATAGGAACTGACTTTACATCAGGGCCCACGGCAAAGTTCTGAAGGTCTGGATCCACCTGCAGATCCGCCTCAGCTGCCTGCTTACTAAAGCCTTCACAAATCAGCTGAGATCTCGCAGCGGAGGTGCATTAAGCTTGACCGTCAGCTGGGCACAATCCCCCCGAAACACGGCACCAGCCTAACAGGAAAACCCCAGCCCCTGGGGTACAGCAGCACTCGGGTGCCGGGGGGACACCCGGCGCATACGTCATCGGTGGACAGCGCGCGAAGTTCACAGTGCGTCCAGTTGGATCGGCCCGTCCTGCTGGGGCCTGTACTATGAAGCAGGGTTACTGGCTTATCGGGGTAACTTGGCGGGTTTAAGGTAGTCTGGGGGAAATGTAAGTGAGCGAATATAAAGTCCATTTAAACTGCGGTACCTTAAATCCGACAAGTAACCCCGATAAGTCAGTAACCCCGCTTCGTAGTACAGGCCACTGGTTCCGATCTCCACAAAACAAGGCTGTTTCGGCCCTGTGAATGTCAGCCGTCTACATATTTGGGAACTCGCCCGATAGGTATAGAACCACTTTACCCTGAAGGCAGCGATTCGTAGACAAAAGCGATAAAAGCTCTTGGACGCTTTCCAACGCCTTTGGTGACACAGTCTCCACCAGAATGCCTTCTTGCCCATCGTACGTAAAGTCCAGTGCTTACAAGTAGAAACGCATAGTTCCTACAATCGGATTCATAATAGATACCATGTCTGTACAAAAGGTATAGCGTTCTAGGTTTCTAGCGACTTCATGTTGTTTACTGCTAAAATATCGAAAAGAAAAACAACTCGATTCCATGTTTTCCTTTATACGCTAGCTAGGCAGCTAGCTAGCTAGCTACCTCCTCTCGCGTTCGCGGTTCGATTTCAAGCCGAAGCATTGAAACAAACCCAATAAAACATTCCCCCAACAGCTAAAACAAAAAAAACCCACTACAGTACCTTTTTATGCGAGCACGTCTTTCGTTTTCCTGTCGAAGAAACATTCTACTTTTGTCCATGATTTTCGCATAGGACTGTGGCACTAAAATGGCCTGTGAAACGCCAACCCCCAAAGCGCCTCCTGATTGGCTCGTTCGTCACATAAAGGGGGCTCGTCTCATATTATGGAGGTATCAAGTAGCCAATGACGGCAGGGGACACAAGGTACTTCCCGACCAGAACGTTACATAATTTGTTTACTTGCATGTTAGACTACTGCGTCTATTACATACCTGTTTTATCTTGTTGTGCGTCTGTTAAACACGATTCAGTGCAGAAAACAAGTTTGCACTCCACACGTTCCACTAAATTATATTTGTATTGCACACATTTATGGGAAAATTACCTAAATATATTTGTATTTATATATTTATTATAATGCACAATAGGACAATAGCATAGTATCATATCATAATTGCTACAAATATAAATTGTGAACGTAAAACTGCATTCAAAAATTGGTCAGTGGCACAGACTTGAGTTTGTCGGTGCAAAATTAGTAATTGCGTGTATGCACAACATAAAGTTATATTAGAACCCTCAAAGTCAGGAAATGCTGAAAGCAGAATACAAATCGACTCAAATATCTTGCATATATTTATGAAATGAGGCCTTTCTCATGAATCTCGTTTTACTCCAGACACAAGTAACGGGATTCTTTGGTGTGACGGCACTATCTGATAATGACCTCACTTCCCGTCCCTGAGTCACTGACAGAGGCCTATCTATCAGCCCCCCTGCACTCACATTTGACACGTCAGACATACGGTGATAGCGCGTCTCATCTGCCATCAGGCCCTTGTGTGGGGTGTAGCTAGCGTCCGTCAGTCCAGCATGCTGCTCAAACCTCTGGATGCTTTCTTGGGTCTGCTCTGTGGGTTGGCAAAACCAGACCCGTCATGCATGATGATTCACACAGGGATTTCCTTTAACTTCTGATATTAAATAACTCCTATCTTGTTTTTTTTTAAAACTGTAGCCAGCAAGAGGAAATTCCTAATGAATTTGCCAGTTTACATACCTACAGAACAAATGCAAAATCAATTATGTCCTCCACAAATTGTTATACCAGTCACACTGTTTTTTTTTTATGCCTTAGTAAAAAAGAATTCTTCCTTATTTCTTTTTTATATGAATCATTTACGTTTCATATCATACCCCATTTCCAGTTAAAATTACAGTTCATATACCAAATTTTATCATCTTACTAGTCATAAGGGAGCTTATGATCCCAGACGAGGCTTTGGCCTTCACCGCGGTAACCGAAGGCTTTGCAGCGTTGGTATGAAAGGGATCGGTGTGACTCAGGAAATGATCTGGGTCAGGCTCCTAATCATGGAGAAAAAAAACACATAATTATTACTACTACTACTGCTACTATTACTACTATGTATTAATAATATTAATATGAATAATAATAATTGATGGCACTCATGAAAGACAGAACGTGTTGATCTATGCAATATACAGTACCTCCACCAGACGACGGAACCTTCTCTCCGGAATGACAGGCTTCTCCCAAAGGATGTTAACGATCATGTCTGATGGAGGGGAGCCGATTGGTGCATCCAGGGCATCGTCGTAGCTGATGGCATGCCGGACAATTCTGATGGGGAGAGATACTCCACCCAGCAGCCCCTCAGACATACCCGACTCCAAGGCTGGGCAAGGAAAATGAACCAGGAGAAGCAGACAGAGAGAAATGCTCACACCTCCGATTAATGCATGCATGATCCAAACCAAAAAAGGAAACCTGCTCTATATCAATCCATAAATTTACTGAGCAAGGCTTGGATTACTTTGTGATAGGTGAATATTAAAAAATAGCACATCAGACGTACACAGTTGCGAAGTATTTATACAGTTGCTGAATTTACCTAGCATCCCTCACCAAAAAAGACAAATGTAGCTTACCTGGAACGTCCCCCCGTCTGGATGCCATAATGCTGGAAAACAAAAAAAAAAAAAAAGTTTTGTTCAGAAAAGAAAAAAATAATAATAATGTAATATGAAATTCTTATGATGGTTCATAACTTCACTGCTCAGTGCTAAAGGACTTATAGAACTGCCGATCATGCAAAAAGTTTCCGAGGAAAGCCTCAAAAAAGGATCAATCAGGCAGAAAGAACAGACCATACCCTAAGCTAAGATTATTGGATGACAGCCCAGGCAAACAAGTGCAATCTCGAGCATAGGCATTAGGCAATCTGCACCAAACGGAATTAATCATTTATCTGAAACACACGTCTTTTGGAATATGCCTGATAGTGAATATGGACATTCTTTAATGAACCAAGTTAGTAAGAAGTTGTTTACTACATATTTATTAAATGGATATTTCCAGTTCCTCTTTGCAAAGAGGGTCAGTGATTCTTTAATCCAAAATTTCGACAACATTCACTCTCCTATTTCATGAGTTTTAAAGAAATATCTAGTTATTAAAGGTCCAAAGCACGTAGTGCTATGAAACATTCTTCTTCTTCATATTATTATTATTATTATTATTATTATTATTATATTTACCGTGGTATTTGGGGAAAACTATATTCCTCCGCTGTTATTTTACAACGCCGCTGCAGACATGGCTGTCGACTAAGCCTGGTAAAAGTTTTTTTTAAAAAGGACTGCACGCGATAAATCACAAGAGACTCGTTAGTAAAAAATATAAAAGAGCCAACATTTTAATTATGATTATTAACAAAATACAGCATCGCTGTTGTTAATGCCACATATGCGGTACATTTTGTTTTTTGACTTTAAATTTAAGCCTTAAGTTCATAACCCTGCATCTGGGAAAAGGTTAACAGTAATCATGCGTCGACTTCGTCTACTTGTTTCCCCAAACTTGCACTTGCAATTCGCTTTAATTTTAGAATGGACCTGTAAAACGTTCACTTTTTATAATGGATCTGACTATTACACTCCAGCATAATCGTCATAAGAATCAAAATGGTCAAACTACAAGATTTATTATGAGTAATTCAAGCACAAAACTGTTACCGCTTAAACAACATCATATAGTTTCGGCTCCCATTTAAACCGGGAGAATTGACACGTTTTGCAGGGTGCCTTGCTCGAATGGTAGTTAAACTGACAGTAGGGAGCAACGTTTAAAACTCCAAGGCACGTACCGTTGGATAATCTAATAAATCCAACAGACTGTCACAAATTGGTTTAATTTCAGAACAGCATGTACATATCTCAGGGTCTTAGTACATCTAATTACCCTTTTCACTTTGAGGAACCAAATACCAAACGATCAGTATTCATGCCTTCTGCTGACATTAATAACTCATTTCAGTGTAACGATAATGAAATCGCACAGTAAGAATAAATCAAATCTATTAACTATATTTCTTTAAGCCTGCAGAAGTAAGCAAGCAATCGCTTAAAAAAACCCCAATGCTCACCTAGTGTTGTTTCCTTATTGAATTACTGAAAATTAAATCAGCTAGTAGCAATGCATTTATTTTTGGGATGCACGCACAACATCTGATGTGTCATTATTTTATGTGGTGACTTTGTAACTTTCCTTAGGAGACGCCGGGCAGCCGGTGCTCCACACTCTCGCGATACTTCCGGATGCTCGTGCGTGCTCTAGCACATCTTTCGGTAGTTGTATAAAGTTTAACTAAACTACGCAAAAATTGGGTAGATGGGCAGTTGAGGTAGATTGTTGAGAGATTATTGTTTTCCTTTTAATATAAACTTCCAAGATGTCTCAAAGCACATGCAGAAAAATCGTGCGCTTTCCCACGCATCAGTCAGATTACATAACGACCAAGGGTATAAAGACTAAAAGCGGATTACTTTAGTCAATGCGTCTGTGTGCGCATGCGTATTGCTGTGTTTCACTGGTTATTGTCATGCTAAAATATTATTCACTAAATAGGACAGTTGTATAGTTTGTTAATCAATGTAGATTTGCTTTCATATTATACAGATTGTAAAACCCGTGAATATTAACATGCCAGAAGACGTTAGGAACTTTTTTTTTTCATTGAATCTTATTTAGTCATATAATAAGATGTACCAGTGGGTGGCGCCACTAACAAGGGAAGATAATCTTGAATGGCTTATCTGTCTCACGCCACAAAAATGTTTGGTCATGAGACGAACTGAAATGTCAGCCAACCAAGTAACGCTGCAAATGGACTGTTATTGACATGACATATGTGAAGCACATATGGGGGGGGGGGCTGCAGACAACAGCTGGAAGAAAGTCTGAGATGTCATTTCAGTACGACTTTAGTACAAGAATAGCACTGTTAAAAATGGAAAGATTAATCTTAACATAGTCTGCAGGATAATAAGCTGTTTTCATTAGAGGGGGACTTGCGGATGTCCTGGATTGACACGCAGCAAATCACAATGAGGTCAATGTCAGAATGATATACGGGAACAATTTTGTATTATTTTCTCATTTTAAAGTGACACTCCCGAAGTTGTGTCATGCATTGAAAAGTTGCTCTGTTGACCTTTATAGTGTTGATCCGTTTGTTAGAAGCGTGGTGGAAATCAAATGACTGAGGTAGTTGTAAATGAGAATTTGACAGGACAAGGATGAGAATATAATTTTAAACAGTTTTCCGTTCCCACGTAATTGTTTTCGCCAATTGCGAGTGAATACAGCTTAAACTAAAATGTCCCAATATTTCCCCCTAGGAACTCCGTACTCTCCAGCCGATCGAGGTTTTTCTATTTTTTCATACCAAGTACCATAAGATGTCGGTAGGGGGCTCCCGCTCATCGTCGGCGACAGGTGGATTTCCTCGGAGTGGCTTAATTCCATCCATCAGAATTAATATTTAGAATATAACCCGAATTAACACAGGTTAAGTTCTACTCGTTTATTCCTGACATTTTACGTACATAATACCGTTGGCTACTTAATTGTTCATGATACCTTTGCAAAATGAAACCAGGACCCCGTGTTTTCTGTCGTAATTATTTTATTGTACAGTTGATTTAGTAACAGATTTATAATCATATTGTGAGTGGTCTGCCGTAAGAATGAGTGCTGTACTCTTATGCTAATGTAGAGTGCCTTTTATATTGTCTGGATTACCGGTAAAACCCGTCTAATAATATCCATCGATTTCTTTTAACTGCTCAGCAAAGACAGAAGAGACTCAGTCGCCCACCCACCAAAGGGAAGGTAATCAAAGCAATATACTGGTTTGTCTGAATTGTAAATGGGGATTATTTTCAGCACGCAAATCTCACACAAACACTACCCTCCCGTACAGAAACACGCAGATGTGGCCCATTCTAGTTAAAACGTTAAACGTTAGTAAAACAAAGACAGCTGTGAATAATGTAAACACAACAACGTGAAATTAAGTCAATTTCACGGACGGCGATCTCGCCATTTGGCTGAATCGGCACCATTTGTGCCGTTAGTACTATCATTCCCAGCTTGTATCCCAGTTGCAATCCGCGATGCCAGACAGTGTGTTGTGCAGTACCCTGGTCTGTGGGACCCCCCAATCCTATCGTGAAACCTCCACGGCGGACACCAGAAGATGCGTGGGTGGTTTTCCTCCGCCCCCACTGGAAAGACAGCACACGGAGACGTTCATCTGGATGCTTTTAATCGAGAATGTGCAACACCTGTAAAAAATACATTAGTTAGAAAATAATTCCCCCCATGCTGTCACATGAGTGCTTCATTTGCCATGGACCAGTTGAAGTCCACAATTACTGTGGTCTGCTTGACCAAGAATACAGGACCAGCAGTGGTGTTCACTGGTCTTACTGGAGCCCTACCACACCCAAGACCTCAGCTGACAGATAGGAGGAGAGGTGCAGGGCTGGTGTTTGGGTTTCCCACTGGGGGCGTGTAAGTGCACAGGGCCTGCAGCCAAATCTGCTCTGAGGGTGGGGGCAACATTCAGTCCACAGTGTTTGGGGCCATGTGGCATATGGGGTCATGGGGGAACCCCAAAAGTCCAGGCCCGATTGTTAACCCCATTCCAGCCCTGACAAGATGCAGAGAGTTTCTATCAACCAGCCGTAAGGCTACTCAGTAGCTCATAGGTATAAAATATCAAATTACTGGTCATTTTCACTCCACCGGTAACTAACAATCTGCAGGAGGTGTGCATGTAGGCCTCTCATTGTATTAAGCAGTGCTTGAAGTGGGCCGGAACGCAGCGGAACGCAGTTCCGGAACTTCTGTATTTCCGTCTTTTCGGTTCCGCCACTATTTTCTGCGTTCCGGTACTTACTGAAACTGATCCGACGCAGCGACAGTGGCCCGAGAAAATTAGAGTTCCTGCACTTATTTTTTCCCACTTCAAGCACTGGTATTAAGGGTATATGAAAAAACATCTATGATTTGAAACATCCAGTCCTGTATGCCGGTAAAACTGAAAATTGTCTCTGGGGAATAAAGTGGATGGAAATAAAAGCTCTTTTGGTTTTAGTCTCGACTGAATGGAGCCCCTGTGGTCCTCAGTAATGCCAGGATCATCCATGATAGTTTCCACAAAGCCAAGTTTACACAGATGTTTGTTTTTTGTATTTATTAATTGAATACAGTTAAATAATAATAAATGAGTATATTATATAATGTAAAAACTGAATGCAACTTGCCACATAGTGCTATACTACATAGAAAATATATATAACAATACATAGGAAAATATATATTAAGAAAATATCAGCAATAGAGAAATATATTTTGCATTATGCAGAATACAGCCATCTTCCACAACCACTTATGCAGTACAGGGTTGTGATTAGTAACAATACGAACACATCAATAGACAACAATGTTTGTACAATTAATTATCTAAATGACACAAGTGGATACATTCTGTATGAGTATCAGTAGGACTGCGTGGTTCCTGTATCTGGGGGCAGGGGGAGGGTGTCCAGCTTCAGTGTCCAATCAGATGCCAGCTGGGGGGGTGGTCACCTCCCTCCATATCAGGGCATGTACTTCCTGTGTTGGTTGAGAGATTCAGAGCCATTAGGGTCACATGACCTGGGAAGGTTAGGTCTCACACCGCATCAGTGGTGAAACCTGAAAGTCATGCATCCTGATACATGTGCTGCTGTAGCATAAACAGGAAGCTCTGCTCTCGGACTCATGCAAAGGACTTCAGTGGGTTCCTTCTTGTACTTAAACCAGCTTTAGTGTAAGTCATCCCAGATGATATCAACACCTGCTGATCTAGATTATGTAACGCTATTTTAAATGAGTTGGTTTTATATTCAAAACATGACTGCAACTTTGGCTAAAAAAATGAAGCGAGCTGATTATTGAGCAATCTACATAATCAATACCCAGTATTCAAAGCGGTGCTTTGTGTTTCTGAGCTCAGGCAAATTCCTAAAGAGTTACAATCTCTGAGTGAAGTAGGTTAGTGCTGCTGTGTATCGTGAAAACCCAGTGTAGATGAAATTATTGCATGAACTTACGACTGCAAATTTTTTATCATTTGGCGGATTTTCTGGGCTTCAGGATTCAGGCAGTACTTGTTCCCATTCTTCAGGTTGACACTGGAAACACAATAGTGGGTTACTTAGTACTAGCACAAAAATGACAACTATGCTACTGTTCACCAACCCAGATCTTTGGAGTACATTCACAAGAGGAATAATGTTCCGAGCAGTCAATGTACTAGCAGTTTGGTTAAAGCCAAGATGCTGATTCAGGTGTTGATTAAACCATCTAACTGAATGGGTACAAAATTGGCAATTAAATCTGAGTAAGAATGCAGGTGTTAATACTCACATGATTTCCAGCTTCATGCAAAAGTTTGATGGGGGAAAAATCTCAATGTTCTCGATGTACCGACGATTAACCCTGAGACTGTCCCGAGTTTTCTGGCACAGGCATGTTTCAGGCCGCCCCCCCACGATGTCTGAGGAGCAACAAGGAAGACACAGCTAAACGGGGAGAGTAATAGTTCACAGAAAAACCTTTAAACGCACAAAAACATGATGGAAGAACTGAAAGATGGAGAGACAGAGAAGGACGACACTCACTTTGTGAGAAGGCGACGCAAGCCACGACTGAGAGAAGCAGGAGGAATCTGAAGATCATGGTGGAGGTTCTCTGTGGTGTTGGTGACAATGGCGGTGACCCAGGTGACAAGCTGACAGTGCTGCTGTCTTGGCTTGCAGAAGGGCTTTTATATAGTACTCTGTGGGTATGATGTCACGTATTTCTGGTGCGGAAATTTCTGAAAGTAAAAGAGGAAATGGAACCGTGACCATTCTCTCCACTCAATAGAAATGTGGTGGTTTCCCAAAATTAATTTCTCTCCATCAGGCAAAAGAAACCCAAAGAAAAATCTTAATTAGTGCAACTTGGTGTGGATTGTTCTTTGCGTAAGCCTGTCCCTGAATACCAAGATGCCAAATGATTTTTCTAAGTATTAATGCTAAAACTCCTTTTAGCCAACAAACTACTAAAGACACGTATTATGTTAATTATGATAATCTTATTAATGGGGATATTTTGGCAATTCTTTGTAAGAGGTGGTAGCAATGCAGATGGAGGCATTCAAAGTCACTTTATGTAAACGGTGATGCTCAGGGTTGGAGATGATTAAAGGCACAGCGATAACGGAATCAGAATTTTGGCACTGGGTCGCGTTCTCCTGGAAATGAAAAGACAGGTAAAAATGGAAATTAAACTTTGTTCAAAACTAACGTGAGCTTGACAGTGGTGAAGGAGTCTGAAGACATCTAGTCAAGGGCCAATCGTTGTAGGACTGTCAAAAGCAGAGTGGCATTCTGCAGGAAGGGTGGAGACCACTGAAGAGCCTGATGGCTAAACCCCCCAGATGTGTTATTAGGTGAACCCACATTATCGGGGGATTTTTTTCAGCATGCTTGAATTTCCTGTAAATGTTCTTGCTTCAGTTCATGCTAGTTATAGTCTTATGAAAATGCATCTCTTTCAGTATGTGAAACCAAACTAATACTATAGTTGTCTACCTACAGTGCATACCCAGCCTCTGAAATTCACTAATCCATTTACATTAAAACAGTGTTCCATAATCTAGGGTGCATACCCAGATGGTCCACATTTTTGCTCCCTCCCAGCTCCCCTCTGACTGGTTTCAGAAACATTGCATTAAAGCACACGCTCTAGGCAAAGCTGGGCTCTACAGGATGGTGCCAAGACGGAAATCACCACCAGCCACTGGGGATTTTGTGAGGGTGGCAGGGAAGTACGATCACTGCAAATGAAGTTAAATTACGAATAAAGTTAGAATCACCACCCTCTGTTACAAAACTGAAATTTTATATGTGAATGACCCAAATAACACAGCTAAAGCTAAATCCAATCCAATGCTGCTTTATTTGTAAAGCACTCTAACCTTCCTATGGTGTTGGGGTCGGCACTGACCCGTTTGTAAGTTTAAAATGCATAAAAGCACAACATAAATTTGTGTACTGCATCAGGAAAATTTATAAAAAAAAATTAATACATAAAAAAAGGCAAGGCATGCCCAGACATGTAAGGCAAAATAAGACCAATTCAGTTTATTTATTTAATTCACTTGAGGCTTATTTTACCACAATTTTTTATTAAAAACGAATGAAAGGTCCTGAAAGCCACACCAAATGAAATGCTGTCAAATGAAAGGTCCTGAAAGCCACACCAAAAATATTAAAACCAATCTTTTCATGGATAAGGAAGCCTAACAAGGTAACCAAGAGGTAAGAAACAAATTGGATGATAAATTATTGTTTGAGGGGGGTATTTTATGGCAGATTTAAGACACGGGTCGGTTCCGACCCGTCTAACATAAGAGATGCGTACAGAAAGCTAACACAGCTAACTAACGAAGGTAAACTACTTTATGGACCAACGTGCTGCACAGAGGAATAAATAAAAGAGAATAGTTGCATAATAAGTAAAATATATTAAAACATTCACACACTTAAAAATACAAACGAAATAATACAAAATACAAACATCCTGGACTTGCTAAGTCAGATTCTTGACCTCAATACCTTTGAAAACTGATAGCACTATAAAATCCTAGAATCAAGGGATGTAGTTTTAATCCCCAGAACACTGACCTTGGAGACCTGGCTGACCTTCAAAATGTGGCTGAGAAAAGCATGCTTTTAGGAAGTATTAATACACATGTGCATGCCCCTAAGCTATACATACATACTGTATATACATGCATACATACATAAGCTATACATACATATATAGCTATAATATATATAGGCCTATATATAATTTTTCGTTTTTCATTTATTTTCTGAAAACTTGATTGTTTTTCTTGCAAATTGTGTGGTACAAGATATAGAGGTGGAGGATGACATTTTAAAGGGTTTATATGCACTGTGTCCTTCTGTGTAGTTTGTGCGTATCAGTCTTATTGAACTGAACAAAGGATCTGCCATCATATTGAATTTATAATCAATATTGCTCTGCTACTGTGGCACTAGGAAGAAGGAATATGTCGGAAGGCAATTGACCATACGTGACTTTGCATTTCATACCAGCCTCTATAATACATTGCAGTTCCATATGCCACCACCTATTGGTGCTATAACACTTCACATTTTTCCACACATGTTCTGGGTCAGATTTTTCAGATTTTGTTTTTTAATTATGGAGCGTAGCACCACAAAGCATCCACTGTAAGGGAGATAATGAACACAGCTGGTCAAATTGCGGTGTGGTTTTACTTTATATGAGCGGCATATATAGTTGATAAGTCATATTATTAATTGAACTCCTATCAGCTGGTAATTCCCATTGATTGTTAAGGTTACAAATATCACATTATCATTCATTATTGAAAAATGTTTTTTGTTTTTTATGATCAGTTTCTTTCTGTGAAAACACTGGTAAAACTGAATCAGAACCTAAGTAAAACCTGACATTTTAATATTTTGTTTACATAAAGAGAAGTAATTAAATTGTAATTACTTAAATGTTATATATTTTTTTAAGATTTAACAAAATCTTAATGAAATATCTCCATTCACCTTGAAAAATTAAGCCATGAAGCTTGAAGGAACGATTACAGGTGCCTGGCTCTGTGATGAACAATTCACCTTTTTCCACATTTTAATGACTTACCGTTTAAACATGTGACATGATCATTTTGCCATTATTGAAAATGATTTCATGATGCTCAGATTTACTTAAAAAGTTTTATTTATTACATTTTTATTGTTGAACAATCTCAGCTGCCATTTAAGAAGAGTTTACATGCAGTCGTTGATTCAATAACATGGTTATCATCTACGTATATATGTATTCAGGTCAAAGTATGACACAACCTAGAATATAAAGGGACTACTATTAAGGCAACATAAAGTAAAAAATAGAGAAATATGTAAAAAAAAAAAATTATAATAATAATTAAAAAGTGCATTGAAATAGCGATTCATAGCTGGTGAAGTTTTGTCTTGAATACATTTCACAAGGCTGTTTGGATGCAGATCCAAGAATGGACACGCAGAATTCGTTGGCAGCACAGAGACGGCCAGCCTACGGCTCAGGAGTGCTGGTCTCCTTGAGCTGGGCCCTCCTGTTCGGAAAGGGGGCAGAGCGGAGGGCTCATCAGATGATGAGCGCCACGGAATCGAGCCAAGGAGGCCGTGGCCCAAGACATACTTACACGCTCTTCAGGGTGGAGATGATATCTTGCACCTTCTGCAGGCGTGGATCCAAACAGTACTGCAGCCCATTCTTCAGGCTGACCCTGCAGGCGTACAGGACAGGACAGTCTAAGATGCGACAGCACGTTACCCTCATCAAAGACACAAGGAGCCTATAAATCTGCTGATGAACGTCTAGTTAGACAATTAAGACCACAAACACTCATTTTCTACTTACACAACCTCCATGGTGTCACAGGAGGGGGATGGGGGGTAAATCTGAATGTCCAGGATGTTTTTGGGGGGTCCAGATTTGTCCCGGACACGACGACAAAGGCAACGTGACTTGCCAAACCCTGCAACTTAAGAAAGAAAGGATGCAGTTTTCAGCCTACAACAACAACAACAACAACAACAACAACAATAATAATAATAATAATCCATAAAAACTCTTCATTGCTGATCAACACACAATCCTCTCTGGTCAGTAATTTGTAACTAATGAATCATGAAAGACCTACTCTGTGCGAGAGCCACGCTGACCAGGACAGAGAAGAGCAGCAGAGTTCTGATGTGCATGGTGATGCTCTGGGCTGCAAGGCGTCTGAAAAGAGAGTCGATGTCGTGTGGCTGCAGACACTGTGGCGAGAGTGAGAAAGAGCGTTTCTGCTCTAACTTATATAGCACCTTCTGAAGCCACTACACAGGGGAAATTTCCCTTTCTCAAATAAGCCCAGTATGGTGTCTCTTACAAACTGGGGGAAGCGTGTGTTTCTTTGTTATATATTGTTGTATTTTTCTTATATAATATGGGTGTTTGGTAACACTCTACTAGTAGAGGGCAGAAATAATGTAGCAGTGCATGCTTACTTAATTAATTAATTAACAAGTAACTAAGTGTCATGTAAATGAGTTCATAAGGTATTTGTGTCCCCTCAAGTAAAGTGCTACCTGAGCATTTTCCATGTATATGACAAACACACACACATTTGCCTAGCACAAGATTTGATTAATATATATATATATATATATATATATATATATATATATATATATATATTTATATATTAGTGCTGTCAAACGATAAATTTTTTTAATTAGATTAATCACAGGGTTGCTTTCGATTAATCACAATTAAATATCATTCATTTTTGATCTATATTAATCGCATTTCATTTTGCATGACCAAACAGACTCAAGAAAAAATGGAATATATATGCACTTAACATGTTTACTGAACATCTTGAACACGAGTCGGATGCATTCCATCTGCCACAGAAATGCAATACCATGGACCCATATCAAAAAGCAAGAGTTTTTGCTTAGCCGAGCAACTTGTCGGATTTAAGGTACCTCAGTTTAAATGGTGTTTATCTTCGTTCACTTACAATTAGCCCGAACTACCGTAAATCCGACAAATAATCCGACTAATCATGAAATCCAATTCTAGCCCGGTTAATTGCCATTGTTAGCAATATCAGTTGATAACACATTACGCGCAGTGCTTTACATATAGAACTCCGTAGCAACACGTCCACAGATAAGTTGGACGGTATAGTGTGTGCGACCGATTTAATGAGCCACAAATGAGAAGTAGCTTTCCCTTCTGTTGATAAAAGACGCAGCCATCTTGGATTCTGAACCCGGGAGTCGGGATCCTCTGTGCTGCTCCGAGATATTTCAAAACTCGGAATACGACTCGAGTTCCCAGGGCAAATGGGACGCAACAAAACTGCCCGAAATGGGTTGCCAGAGACATTTCAGTCATTCTGAGCTGCAGATGGGTTAATTGCTAAAAAAATTTATCAGATTAATCCACGTTAACCCATTAATTTTGACAGCACTAATATATATATATATATATATATATTACAATTAGCCCGAACTACCACCCAGGGAGCTGGGGGTTGAGGGCCTTGCTCAAGGACCCGCAGACGTGCTGAGGCTGGGCTTGAACCAGCAACCTTGTGATTACAGGCACACGGCTTAGCCCACTGAGCCACACACTGCTCCAACAAGACCACTCCATTTCAAAATATTTTCACGTTTAATGTGACCTATTACTAGTATAATTCAAGTGAAAAACAAGCAAATCTATTGCAGGGAAAATATATATATATATAAAAAAAACACAATAATCTGGTTGCATAAGTGTCACATCCTTAAACTAATACTTTGTTGAAGCACCTTTTGATTCAGTTACAGCAGGGGTGTCAAACTCCAGTCCTGGGGGGCCGGAGCCCTGTGTAGCTTAGTTCTTTCCCTGTTCCACCACAAATCATCCAGCTCAAAAGCTGTGTGGTAATTAGCACAAGGAGTTGAATCAGGTCTGTTAAATTAAATGAGGGTGAACCAAAAACTGTGCAGGGCTACGGCCCACCAGGACTGGAGTTTGACACCCCTGAGTTACAGCATTCAGTCTTTCTGGATACACACCTGCCATCAATTAAGGTGACTGTGATTAACCCCAAATAAAGTTCAGCTGTGTTAGTCGGATTTTCCTGACTTTTACTCAGTTACATTCTACAGCAAAAGCCATGGTTCGCAGAGACCTTACAAAGCATCAAATAGATCTCATTGCTGAAAAGTGTCAGTCAGGAGAAGGGTACAAAACTTTTCCATGGCCCTAGATATACCACGGAACACAGTGCAGACAGTCATTAAGAAGTGGAGAAAATATGGGACTTTACCAAGAACTGGACGTCCCTCCAAATTTAATGAAAAGACAAAACAAAAACTGGTCTGAGAGGCTGCTAAGAGGCCTGCAGCAACAGCAAAGGAGCTGCAGGAATTTCTGGCAAATACTGGTTGTGTACTACATGTGACCGGAATGTTCCATATTCTCCATATGTCTGAACTTTGGGGTAGAGTCACAAGACCGAAGCCTTTTCTTACAAAGAAAAACATCCAGGCCCAGCTAAATTTTCCAAAAACATGGATTAGGTCTCCCAAAAGCATGTGGGAAAGCATGTTATGGTCTGGTGAAACCAAGGTTGAACTTCTTGGCCACGATTCCAAAAGGTATGTTTGGCACAAAAGCAACACTACGCATCACCAAAAGACACCACACCCACGGTGAAGCATGGTGGTGGAGGCATCATGCTTTGGGTTTGTTTTTCTTCAGGAACTGGGGATTTAGTCAAGGTGGGGGGAATTATGAACTGTTCCAAATACCAGTCACTTTTTGCCCAAAACCTTCAGGTGTCTGCTAGAAAGATGAAGAGGAATTTCACCATTCTGCACAACAATGACCCCAAGCATACATCCAAATCAGCAAAAGAATGTCTTCACCGGAAGCAAAATGAAGTCTTGGAATGGCCCAGCCGGAGCCCAGACCTGAATCCAATTGAAAATCTGTGGGGAGACCTGAAGAGGGCCGTGCACAGGAGATACCCTCACAATCTGACAGGTTTGGAGCGCTTTTTCAAGGAAGAGTAGACAAATATCACCAACTAAAGATGTGGCATGCTGATTGACTCCTACCTAAAACGACTGAATGCTGTAGTTAAAACAAAAGGTGCTTCAACAAAATATTACTTTAAGGGTGTTCACTTACCGTATAGCAATCAGCTTATTGTACTTTAACAGTGGTGTGTACACTGTATGTACACATTAGGGTTTGCTGTGAGGGTATGTCGGGGGGGGGTGGTGGTTGAATCCTATGAAAATTACTGATCAGACTGAAAGGTCTCTAATGTGCTAATAATTCAACATGCTTTACATATACTTCCTATATTGCGGTGAACGATTCTTATCTTGGCTTTGTGACGGTTGTGTTATTGAAGCGGGAGTTTTTGCCACAATGCTTGCCAATGCAACGCACGTTACAGGAGACTAGATCTTATCTGACTTCCATCTCGCTGAACAGAAACAGAAAGCGGAGATCTCTGTACAGGCCTCCGCTGAGTCAAGGCGCCCAAAGACTAATTCATTTTGAAAGGTATAAACCAAGAGACTGTGGAGGCTTCTCTGTCTCGTAATCAGTCATGAAAAATACGAGTCAGACTGTGCATCACACACTTAGATGCGGTAAAGCTGTCTAACTAGCTGCAGTGCAGCCTGCCTGAGATGGGATCGGCTCTGTGTGTGTGTCTGTGTGTGTGTGTGTGTCTGTGTGTGTGTGTGTGTGTACGTACTTGTGTGTGCGCGTCGCGCTGCTGTCGTAGGCGTTGGGGGCCAATTTTAAAACTGCTGTGGGGAATGTTGGACTTTCCCTAAAGTCTAGCTATCAGCTCTGCACTTCACTTTCCTGCGGCCCCCGGGCTCTGAAAGCCCAATCGGCGGTTAACACCTCGAAACTCTGAGGGAGAAGATGCATGTGCAGTGGAAAGTAAAACTGACCTTCGTGTCAGTTTCTTAAAAGACGCGACGATCCTGTGTCTAAAAATAGAGATGCGATGCTAGAAATTTTGTATAACTATAATATAAAAAACTACTGGAGAGCACTATAGTCCTAGAATCAAGGGATGTAGTTTTAATCCCATCTTTTTATTTTATAATAAAATTATATAATTAAATATTACATAATAAAATTTCTGGGGACACACACAGAAGCCAAACTCACAAGTCATGGCAACAGTAAAATGCAGAGGATGTCAGTGAGTCGAAGCACTTCAGTCTGTGTTATATCTTTACACAGGATGCACAAGATGGGAG